TTGAAAATCATTCTTATTTTAAGCTTGTGAATTGAGTCTAATTTTGTAGAATTACAGAACATTAAGTTTATATATATATATATATATATATATATATATTTAAAAAATTAAGTGTGACATGTATTCAGCAAATTTTCAAAAGCGTCTTCTTGTTTGTTATCTCATTTTAAAGCAATATTGTCCAAAAAACAATTACTGGCATGGTATTTAAGATATAAAATATGAGTAAAACATATTGGAGAATCTAATTGAATGTCTTATAGATGTTCTTATATAGTGTAAAAAAAGCAGACAGAAAATTTTCAAACTTTAATTCATAAAACTTTGCAATTTGTACCACCAAATTTCAAATTTTAAGTTTTAACATATAAATTTTACACAATAAATTTTACATTCTATTCTATTTTATAATTTTCAATGGGATAATTTTAATTTGATTATAAAATATTAAAATGTATTATATTTTTTTATTTTTTTGATAAAATACCACAATAAAAACTATATCAAAAGGTAATTTTTAAAAATTCTTTTAAAATTAATTCTATTTAATGATATTTCTAATTAAACAAATGAGCATAAAAAATTGATTAAAGTTTGACATATAGACTTAAAAAGATCTTATGAATATATTCTATTGATAAAAAAATATAAATAGATATTTCTTCTTTTCTTTTAAAAAGATTATAGAAAAATATTAAAAACAAATCTTAATAATATCTTTAAAGTCTAAAAAATCTAGTTTAGAAAAAATTTGATTACCGAGAAAGATTTGAAATAAATATAAAATTTAATGGAAGTATCTTTTAAACTTTTAGAAAATGATAAAAAAAATTGTAATGTTTTGTGGATGATACCAAAGAACTCCAAAACATTTAAGAATGTTTTAGAATGTTTTAGAAGTCACTTGATATTTGTCAAAAGTATTGCATCATCCACTAACAACAAGTGATGTAAAAAGTGTTAAGAACTTGATTCTTTGAATTTCTAGATAAACAAATATCTTAGAATTTTATTTCAAGCCAATTGTCATTTGGTCACTAATTAATAGATGTTTAAGTATATTTAGTCAACAATTATAGATGTAGCTATGTGATGTTATTAAACATAATCTTTAAAAAATTATATGATTTTATACTTTTAATATATTCTTAAAAATTGACATTTCATTTGCATAATTTTTATTTTAAATTTTATGCTTTAGCAATTTTTAAATATTTTCTAACGAAAGCATAAATAATAAGATTATGTTTGTTACTTTGAATGTACATCTTCATCTTAAGGCATCTATGTAATAATGAGGGTTGTAAAAAATATTAAATTAGACTAGCAATTGTTTCAAAGAAATTTAAATATAAAATCTTAAAACTATATGAAGATCCTTAATTTTAATATTATATAGTTTTAAATTTGAGACTTTCATTTTACTTCAATTTATTCTCTATTTCTTCTCATGTTTATCTTAAAGAATAAATTTTCATTAAGACAATAATTTTGTTAATATCATTTCTAAAATAATAACTTTTAGTATTCTACTGAGTTTTTTTTGTTTATGCAAATAATGTTGATTATAGATTTATCCCATCATTGGTGCATTTTTAGGTTTGATAATAGCTCCTACAAATGTTTTTCCTAGTATTATAATATTCCAATATGTTGAATGATTTGTATATGTTTTAAGTAAATATTCTATCAACTTTGTCCTACATTAAATTGCTAACTAAAATTGTAATTTGTAATAAAGAATTCTTTCTAATGTATATGATTTATAATAGGTTTTTAATAAAGATGCTTGAGATAATGTTTAGATATAAAAATAAGATAGGAGCTTAAAGCAAAACCTAACCGAATTAACTCATGTGATTAATCACAAACGGCTTTAATCATGTGTTTCTTAGCTTCTTTAATGGTTGATTTGTTTATATGTTCTTTTCAAAGAAGTCAAACTTAACATATAATTTTAATTTTCGGTTGGTATTTTTATGATGATTTGCATAACTTTTAAACTGATTTTGAATTTCTTGAAGAAAATCTTCAAGTTATATTTGGTCAGAAAAAAATCTTCTATTAAATTATCAATATATATATATATATATATATATATATATATATATATTTTAATCCTTTGTCTTGCTTCCTTCTTCACATCATGACAAATAGATACTTTAAAAGCGCCTAAACAGGTTCTTAGAACCTAGGAATGTTTTAAAAATCAAAAGAATATTTTATAAAAATCTCTAAAAAAAACTATAAAAAAAAGGTCTTGAAAAAATATATATGTAAATTTCTATCATTTTGTCTTTTTTAATAGAAGGTATTTTTTTATTATCAAAAGCATTTGATTTTGTCTTAGTAATATTACTAAGCCTTGCCATATACTTAAACAATAGATTATGTTAGAAGTTTGATCACACCACAATATTCACAATGTGAGGTTGTAATCTTAAAATATATTAAATAAAAACAAAAAATAAAGAAAAAAAAAATACAAACAAAAACAAACAAATATTTATTACAATAGAGGTTATGTGAGTGTACACACATGTTTACTCAAATAAGTTTACATTGTAAAAATTAATTTTTATTTGAAAAATTAATTCTTTTACAATGTGTTATAACACGCGTCACTCGATTATGGGCCACATCTGACCCCACCCGACGTTAAGTGCCACGTCGATTACACGTATCCATCTGACGTGGACCACCGGACGTCGACGTCGTCGTCGGGTGCAGAAATCGACGGAGAATGGGAAAAAAACAGAATATTACAGGCATCTGTAATATGCCGATGTCCAAGCGCAGAACCACAAAATGAAGCAAAGTTCAGTTGCAGGCTCGAAACGGACGTCCATTCGAAGGTCGAGTGACGCCAAGCCTCACGTCCAGTCTCGCCTTCCGGAGGAATCTATCTCGCTCTCGACCTCGATAGGAAAGTTCGATCGAGTCGCCAACCTCGTTCTATCGCCGGAAGCACGAGTCCCTCCCGAGACCGACGGGAGTGCGAGAGACCGCGAGAGAGTTCCAGAATAGCACCTCTGGGTCGCGTGTGGCGTTGAATGCCGACGGAGCTCATTCATAGTTATCAGCATGGACCCACCAGAGCCTGTCTCGTGACCAGTGAAGCAGAATTTTCCACCTAGGGATTGCCGCTTTTGCCGCTCGTAGTTTATCTGTCGGGAAAGGATAGTTTCCCTCAATTGCGATGGGCTTGGAATGAAACAGCGAGATAGCTTCACGCGCCTTGACGAGTTGACTCACCCGTTTCAATCAAGCCATCATTTTAGGATTTGAGGCTTCGGCATTCAAGAAGAATGGGGGCGAAGAAAACCTTGAAGCTTCTATCGAATTGCCTTCAGGCTTGCACCCGGACGGGCAGGCCCCGCCCAGCCCAGCCCGAGATTTACGTAACCCGACATGTGGAAATTGTGGCTTTAATTCGTTGTACTGTATCCCACGCTTGAACATTGAGCTGTGGCAGTAATAAAACAACGATGTACGTATTTAAGTACGTATAATATGTATTTGGATATATTCACATGGGCGGCTGTGGACGTAGTATAATTTCTTCGATTTTTGTAGCTTCTGTGTCGAATTAAACATTGAAATATCCATAAATAACGATATGTACTGTTTGAGGATTGAAATTATAACCGACTAATTGCATGGTAGACTTGTAAAAATAATTTCACAATTGTGTGTAGATAATGTCATTGGTAGTTGAAGTTTGGTTACAAGTAGTGTTGATAGTGTATTATTAAAGCTTTGTTAATTGTTCACTTCAGAGTATATTTTCTTTTTTTGTTTATAGGTTGGTTGCAGTTGAAATGTATACAACAACATCTTTTTTTTTTTTTTTTTTTTTTTTTTAGTTGATGGGTTCAGACTTTTTCAAAAATATGAAGACTTTCAATTAAGTTGCAAGTTGTATTGAGTTGTATTGTAAGAAGAAAAAAACATATTATTATAAATTGAAATTTATTATTGTGCACAAGTAGAGAGAATGTTGGTCAAAATTTTAGAATTTTGGAAATTATTAAAGAATCGAAGTTAATTAGTTCTAGTCCCTATAATTTGAATGCATCAATAACATTGATGGTTGCAACGTATAAAATAATTGAGGACATTAAAGAATGAAAAAGTTGGATTTCTGGAGAATCCACTTGTGTGCACATAGTACCAAATAAATCACCCTTTTATTAATCGCCCATTACTGCATGCAATAAGAAAAAAAAATGTATATATATAATCCAAAAACAGTTTCTTTGACTTCACCATTCCTCATGTGCAACTGTCCTCAGCCAACTCTTGACCACATCAAATTCCTTAAAATTGACAAAATGCTTCTGAAATACAATTAACTCTCTCACACAAAAAAAAAAAAACACATTCTCCAAAGAACTCACAAACAATTCCCTCAGCCATCTAGAAATGCTTGGACATTCATCAACATTATCATCCTCCCTCCATTATCCCCCTTCACACTACACCCAAAAGTTCCCCATCTGAAACAAACGTTACATTTCGGGCACGGAGCCCCTCCCCGCTCCCAACCCGTTCCCCAATGACAGAGTACTCCATGAAAACAATTCCCGAAGCCAGGGAACGCAACCACCTGGACCCACCCTATCGCGAGGAGCGGGGGAAATAGACGCGGACCTGCGGCGACGTCCGGACGACGCGAGGCAGAGTGAGGGGAAGGCGGGCGGGGAGAAGGAGGCGCGGCAGCAGCGAGGAAGCGTGGCTGTGGCTTCGGCTGAGCATTTGGGCAGTTGTGAGTGCGAGTAATCCTTTGTCTGTGTCTGTGAGACTTGGAAGAGTGCGGCTCAAGCTTGTTGAATTTCGTGGTTTTCCAATAATTTCTCGGAGAAAAATCCTTTTTTACTTTTTACCTCGACGAGAAGAAACGCACAGACGACGACACATCCTTTGGGTCTCTCCTTCAACAAGCCGTTAGGGCAACAGAGATAATCGAGTCTTAGAAAGGAATGGTCGTTTTCTATTTTTGTTTACCCCCCTCACCCCCCCCCCTTTTCTTTCTTTCAGTTCTGGTATGCGAAGCAGAGTGTTGTGCAAGCACCCGTGTCATATAGACTTTTGTGCTGCGATCTGTGGCGGCTTTTCACTTTGAGGAGTTGGGTATTTAGGTCCTTGGTGAAGTGGAAGTTTTTATTTCATTCCGAGAAGTTGTTGGGCGGCTTGGAAGGAGTGGTGTCGACTTCACTCGGGTTTGGGCGGAAGTGTTTATTAAGAAGCTTTGTAGAAGAATCTTTTATGGTGTTGGGTTTTTGAATGTGGCAGATAGAGTGGTGTGGTTCGTTGGTGATAAGCCTTTGAGGGTTGTCTTGATCGGGGTGTGCATTGCAGTTTGGTTTGTCTGTTGAGGGAAGTAGCAGTTGCGAGGCTTTAGGTTTTTAGCTAGCCAACGTCTGCAACGCTGTGACGATTGTGGGAAGGATTGGAGACGAGAGTTGTGTGAGAGAGAGAGAGAAAATGACGCTGAGGACTCTTCGCAAACTTCGAAAGTTTTCACCCTTTTACTCTAGGGTGCCTGCCACCGAAGGTTCAGATTCAGACGGGGCAATGCGTTCTGGTGCGCCTTCTCGGTTCTCCTTCACATGGTTCCAGCGCGCATTCTCGAACGGTTCAACGTATGGTCGCGTTCCGTTGTCAGAGAGTCCTAAGCGGGAACTGAGAATGAGGTCGGAGACGAAAGCCAGGCGACATCAAGACCACTCTAAAACGCGCAAGAAGCGTTACTCTCGGGTGTGGTGGTGAAAATCTCGATCAACAGGGGCTTGCTGGACTTCCCCCTTTGACACTGCGATTGTGTAAGATCCGCGATTCTTACCGCTGGAAGAATAGCGATGCCGGGACGAGAGCTTATTTCTGGCGTTTTTCCTGTTCTTCGTCTCTGTCGAACATCTTCATCGTCACGTCTCAAGTCCCTGGTTCTACTTGTTTCTTCCGATACACACAATAATGCTCTTACATGAATGCCTGATGGAAGGGGAGAGGTCGAGGCTGGCAAAGAGAATGAGATTTGCAAACACCTCTGGTGTGGACTTTCCCAGCCACAAAGTTTTGTTTGGATTAGGTCAATGTGTTACAGATTTTTTTGTCAGGAGTCGGAATTAGTCGCTGGAAATGGCAGCTGAGTTTTCACCTTGTAGATACTTATTTGATCTTCTACTGGATAAACAGCCCATTCTCAAAAGGTCTGTAGGTAGAGAGTTGGGCAAGTCTGCTTAATACGCGCTTCCTCTTTCTAAAATGAGTATAGGACATAAACGAGGTTGTAACGCAACCGTACCTCAATGTGTTATCCTCATCAATTTTCACACCTTTTCAACCCGCTTTGGGCTTTGTACAATTGACGTCTCAGAAACCTGAACGTCTTGCAATGGTTATCTTGTCAATGCCGCTAGGAGAGTCGTTCATGCATGTCAGCGTCCAGGATCTCCTTTTGATGTTGAATTCTTTTAGTGTTTCAGCGTTTCCGTAAGAGAATTGTAGTTTAGCATGCGGCACAGAAGGTGATAATCATTGTTGCAGGTCACCTATCAAGTGGGCGTGGCTGTTACACTATCAAGGGCGCTCTTCGAACGAATCCTTGCGTGAAACGCATCAATTCGCCATCACAACTCTCGGCAGGTCAAGCTCTATCGCCTTCTCAGCATGCACATGATCTTCACTTCTCGTCTGTTTGAGCTTGAACTGATTGATCGTATATGAAATCGCATGGTGATTGTGATTAATTGTAGTTCTGAATGGAGTGATCCGATTCCACCGACACCCAGTTAATGGTGCCACATTTTTGCAAAGCTGGCGGTCGTTTCTGTGGAAGATACTAATCGAATTTGCTTCGGGGACAGATTGTGGCAAGTTTCTGAAGAATCTGATTGTATACCTGGTGTATTTACTGACTGCTTGAGCTCTTGTTTCTGCTATGTTTTTTAAACATTGAGGATGCTTTGAATTGAACAAGGACTGAGTTCTTCTCTTAAGTATTGCATTCCAGAAGGTCTGAATCTTGCATGTGACTCCAGCTGTGTACTTCAAATGTTGCTATATCTCTCTATCCTTCTATTTTCATTTGAGTTTGTTATATATCTATGTATATCACCACATGGATGGGTCTTCGTTAACATCAAAAAAGTTCACGAACTCTAGAGTTCTCCAGAGTTCACAGGTCGTTTTACAATTCATTGGTCTTTGTTTTCATCTAAAAACTTAAACGTTGTCTGGAGTCCACAGGGAGTTTAACTGTTGAGCGTTTTACATTGTAGCCGCAGGATGGGCATGCATCGAGGGATTCTGTGTATATCTCCGTGGGTGGACTCACTTTTGGTCTCAAGGAGGGTGATGTTCTCGGTCTTTTGATGAAAACAAAGACTGATGAATTGGGTATGAGCGTGAGAGAGAAAGAGAGATACTACCGCCGACGGGCTGCGGCATTGAGGGAAAGATGACACTAGAATGTCAGATCCCCTTACACACATTCAAGACGCACTACCAAGATTGCATAGAGAAACCGAGCTGGGTTAAGAATCTCTGAGAACAGGGCCATTCGTCTTGAACTCTTTCACCTGCTCAACGTAAAGGGTGCCGAAGACTTCTACGTTTGAGGGCCGGAAACTATGGAATTGTAATGTAAGAAAATAAAACACACACACTGAAACAGCGATCAATTGGCTTTTTACCATAATAGATTGGGCAATAAGTCAGACAGATGATTAGGCATAAAAAATTCAATGAAAGGATAAAATCCTAAATTCAGTCACTAAATTCAATCACACAATTGTTTATAACAGTAGTAAAGATTTGTAAAGTTATTTAAATTATTGTCACAACTATAATGGGAGCCATGCGAAAGATCACTCCCATGGGGTGTAGAATATAAAAGTGTATTTTGGGGAAAAAAAAAACAATATAACACTCAAACTCCTCGACACGATCCGGAATTCAAACATCATAGCAAATTGCAGACCCATCCGACGAAGAGTGCGAGTTTCGGAGCTCGGGAACTGAGTTTCATCAAAAAACTCGCTTCGTGATCTTGATTTTCAGATGTGTGTACAGTTGCGTTGATCTTCTACAGCATTCAACATTACTTCTCTTCTCCATTGTTGGTTCGCTCCTTTTGATTCCTTTCATGGGTGAAATTTCAACTACAGAATCAAACCCCATTCTTTCATGATCTTCTCATGTCTGTTTAATGGGATTTGTTTGTGCATGAGCTGTACAGTGAAGTTTTAGGTGTTTATGTGATTTGTGAATAAGTTCACCTCGAGAGAGATAAAAGAAAAACAACGCATAATCAAGCGAAAAATAAAGAATAAAAAACAAAATTCTTGCAAGAATTGTTCACTTCTAAATTATGTTTGTGACAAAATTACACTTTCAATTATTAAAAAATTGACATGTACTCATCAGTTTTAAAAAATTATTTTATAATTAACAACTCCTTTGACATAGCCAAATTTATATTAAATATTTAAATATTATGTTTTCCTCTTGAGAATGACATATTGAAACCAGTTAATAATCAGTTTTGTATAAAATCATTGTAACTCATTTACAAAATATTACTTTCCTCCAAATCCATGTTTTCAATTTTCAAACCTAGGTCTGATAAATCTTATTATGTTGTATTTTTGCTGATTTTGTTTGCAAAAGGTTTTTGTAAAGAGTGATGTCTCCGAAGCCACATGGTTATTTCCACTCTATGTTCATCATAGCATAGTTGCAGTAAGCAGATGTTCTCAGAATCAAGACCATCACAAATGAGATCAGGATGGATGGAGAGAAAAGCGAACTTCACCCCAATATTGCAGCTCCAAGTCTCAACAGCTGCATAGCGACAGGCTAAGTACTGTGTAAATTATAATGAAACAAACACATAAACAAAGTAGGTAGATCGAAAACACAATCTTATTGGAAGACTGGTTCAAATACTCAACTTACAAAACCTCTATAATCAATTACTTATATTTATGATATTAAATTTATGATAATCAATCACTAATATTTATGTTATTTGTAATCAATTTTTGATAAATACTATATTCATTAATTTCTTTAAATTGAATAGATTTTAGTCTTTAAGTAAAAACTTATACTATTAAATTTAAAACTAAGAAAATTATTTATTTTTAGTTTTAGTTTTTATTATATTTATGGTTCTATGCATACAAATACTACTATATCATGCTAAATCCATTAATCTTCTTTTGACACTAATATTTTTTAAGAACATATTTTATAATTAAAGCCATATATTACATATTTCCAAAAAAATTTGTTATGTCTTCAAGTAATACACTATTCTCTCCAATTTTTTTTCTTAATAATATAATTAATGGATTTTTTTTTACATTTGTTAAGAGTTATAATCTTATAGACATGTTATTTCTTATGGCTTTGTCTTAAGATTGAGACTTTGGTGATGCTACTAAGAAATATTGCTCCTTGCCAAGGACTTTGTAATGGAACTTGATTGGTAATTAAACAACTAATGGATCGAATTCTTCAAGCAAGAATTCTTGGAGGGAAATTCGTTAGAAACCTTGTGTTTATTCTGAAAATTATATTAACTTCAACAACAAAAGAACTTCCGTTCATTCTAAGAAAAAACAATTTCTAATCCATCTTGCATTTGCAATAACAATAAATAAATCCCAAAGACTATTGGTGAAACACATTGGTTTGGATCTACAACAATCTATTTTTTTCATAGGCAACTTTATCTAGCACTCTCTCTATGCACTTCTTCCTAAAAACAACAATTAAAATTCCATTCTAAATATTATTTTTTTAAAAGTTTTAATTAGATAAATATTAGTAATTTATATTTTATATTTTATATTTTAATTTATTTATTTCTTGACTTTACTACATCTTTGAATGTCTTAATATACTTTTATGATTTTTTAAATATAATTTTATAATTTATTTATTTATATTTATTTTTAATATTTTCTTAAGTAGTTCCTTCAACATTTTTTTTTTTTTTTTTTTTTTTTTTTTTGCATATTATTTGTAACAACAATATGGATTTACTTATCCTACTTTGTAAATAAAAGCTCTATTGTGTATTTTATTTGTTTTTATTTGTATTGTATTATATTTGTATTTGAAAAATATTCTTTGGCTCAAAAAATGCTTTATTTGAGTCACACTTTCCATGACAACAATACAAATTCATCTAGTAAATATATTAAGTCTACTCAAGAAGACAAGTGGTGGTTCTCATTCATCGTATGGATGGGTCTTCATTTTCATCAAAGAGGTTTATGTTTCGTGGAGTTCACAACCCGTTTTACACTTCATTACTATGTTTTACAATTGATTAGGGAGTCCTATAAAATTCAAATAATAGTTTTCAATGTAGTTATGAAAGCCTCAACAACAATTAAATAAGAAGGTGGTCTTCTTGCCTTGATATGGGGCTCTATCGATGGTTGAGAGGATCTATCAACTATCTTTGAAGTGAACAAAGATCAAAGTACATGGCAAATACAATTTGTCACATCTTGAATTTCCTCAACATATGATGACCACTCATCATGGAACTCATCTCTAGAAAAGGGAGGTAATATCATGGACATATATATTTACTCTAATATTTATCTATATGATTAAATAGTTTACTCTAATATTTATCTATATGATTAAATAGTTTATTCTAATATTTATCTATATGATTAAATAGTTTACTCTAATATTTATCTATATGATTAAATAGAAGCAGGTAAAAGTAGATTTATTTCATAATATATTTTAGAAAAGCTTCCTATAAGCTTCAAAGATGCTGCTTCGACTTTACATGTGTTTGTAGTTGATTGGTAGGTTAAAAACTTAGTCAACAAGTTAACCACATGTTGGTAGCATACGAAAAAAGCTAATTATAGAGCACTTATTTTGAAAATTTGCCATGCAAGTTAATATACATGTCTTATAAAGTCAATATATTTTGGAGGTCCTATAGGACACTACTATATAATTCATAATTAAAAGTATATATGGAGGCAAGAGTGAAGGCTTTTTCACTCTTGTCAATACCTTTCTAGTCCTTAATATTATTTCAAGACTTTGTAATCTTCTTGTCTTTGGCAATAGCCATTTTAGTTTAATACTATACCATCTTTGAGTGACTTTCTAGTTCTTTTGAGTGACACAAAAGTATATTGAGGTTTTCTTTCTTCAAGCTTCATGTCCTTGACAATACTTTAGCAACTAAAGTTTGATTGATGCAAAAGATTGTTATATATGTTGTATCATTAGGAATTACTCTATTGCTACTTGAAAGAGGAAGAATTGCCTATTCTATATTCAAGATTCGACTAGATTGTAACAATGACTCTTTTTGTTCAATTATTAAGAATTTTGACCATGTTGAGTTTATTTGCCAAACTTTGCTTATTATTTGGGATGAACTTCCAATACAACATCATTATTGTTGTGAGGTAGTTAAATATTCCTTTAGAGATATTTGAAATACTGACTGCCTCTTTGGGGAGCTACAATAGTCTTCAGTAGAGATCTTTGTCAAATATTGCTAATGATTGTGAAAGAAACTCAAGAAGAAATTGTAGCAATATCTTTTTGATGTTCAACACTTTGGCTTTAAATAAAAATCTATATAGTAAAAGAAAACATGAAGTTGAATTCAAAAGCACTTTAAACTCATATCAAGTTTGCTAATTTTCTTTTTTAGATATAAAATACACATATATGTTGTATATATTAATGGTAGTGTATTTAAATTATTTATAGTTATATTATTATTGACTAATATTTTTATTTTCTACTTCCTAGATTAGAAGTGGTACAAATTTATTACTCAATAATGTAGTTATGTTACTTGATCACATGATTGTTGATCAACAATTAATGTCCTTAATTGATGTTATTTATCTAAGGCTCATAGAAGATGGTGTAGCAAATGATGCCTTCTTAAAAAGTAAAATTATTTTATTTGCATGGAATGATGATGCGGAGGATATTAATGAAAAGATTATGGCCATATTTTTTAAAGAAGAAAAAGAATATTTCAACACTAATGTAATTCTTGTCAAAGATGGTAATAATAATAATAATATTTATTTAATCAAATTTATTTAATCTCTTAATCCATTTGAAAATTTATTTAATTTAATTAATATTTTGTCTTAAGATTGAGATTCTAGTGATGCTACTAAGAAATATTGTTCCTTGTCAAAGACTTTGTAATAGAATTCGATTGATAATACTACAAGTAATAGATGAAGTTCATGAAGTAAGAATTCTTGGAGGAAAATTTTCTAAAAACTTGATGTTCATTCCATGGATTATATTAACTTCAACAATAAAAGAACTTCTGTTCATTGCAAAGAAAAAGCAATTTCCAATCCATCTTACATTTGCAATAACAATAAATAAATTCCAAAGACAATCAATGAAGCACATTGGTTTGGATCTATGACAACCTGCTTTATTCCATAGTCAACTTTATATAGCATTCTCTTGATGTACTTCCTCTTGTTTTATTAAGATACTTCTTTGTAGAAACCATAATTTAAATTCCAGAATGAATATTATTTTTTCAAAAGTTTTAATTAAAAAAACATTAATAATTTAATTTTTATGTTTTATATTTTAATTAATTTATCTATAGTTCAAAAATTTGACTTTAATACACCTTTGAATGCCTTAATATATTTTTATGATTTTTTTAATGTAATTTTATGTGTTTTTTTTTAATAATATATTTGCACAAATAATTCCTTGAAAAAATTAAGTAATTTTTTTTCAAATTATCTATAACAAAGGCACAAGTTTACCTATCCTACTTTGTAGCTAAAAGCTCTATTGTGTAATTTTTGATATAGCTTTTTTAATTTTTCTAAAAAATAACCTATTTGAGATGAACATGGAAAACATTATGGGAGATAACACTATTTAAGCCATGTAGAAAAAATGCATTCCGCCTCATATTTCTTCTTAGGGCCTTTAAATATTTTTTTAAAAAGTATAAAGTCAAATCAAAGAAATTTTTTAATTTCATTTATTTATCTTTAACTCCAATATTATTTTTTATTTTATTTATTTTATTTTATCACATTTATAACTTCATAAGGCCTTAGTATCTATATTCACCTTTCGTAAAGATCTTAGTAGTTGTAAAGCCTTAATCAGGTACTATAAAGCCTCTATACTTTTATTTTGGCATTTATTTATTTATTTATTAAAAAAATTAGAAGAAGTCTCTTAAATTCTTTTGTAAAAATGTCATACTTTAAAATTTACAACTCCAATTTTAAAAAAATTAAATAACTTAATTTTAAAAAATTATAAGTTTATAAAGAATTTCATATACAAATTGCACCACATTAGTATATATATATATATATATATATATATATATATATTTTGTTTTTTAAAAGAATGCCTGTGATAACATAAGATATATTTTATAACTAAAATAATTATATTAATGGAAATTTTAATTTTTACAATTTAATAGAGAAAATATCATTCATGCCCCTAAAATATGTTGAAATATCAAGAATATTCATGTATTCTTGATAACAGCAAATCTGCTCCTCTCTTTTCTCAATACATCAAATGTATCCTTGAGCTTGATAACTTATCACAACATTCCTTGTTTAAGTGCCAATAGGGCCCAACATGCTTGCAACCCGAGCCCTCTTCCACACTTTTTGGCATAAACCACTGAATGGCCATTTTTGGCAAATAAATAAATTCATCTCTGTGTGACTCGGGGTTGAATCAGCTCAGCAAAACACAATTCGTTACATTGGGTATGTGAGTCTCGACCCCTACTCGCCACACGCCATGGTTCTCATTTTCTTGAGCTCTTTGCAGATGCAGTATTTGATTATAACCGTGGCATGGCTTTGCGTTGTCTCCGCTGTCAGAGGTGGGTCGCGGATGACAGCCCCCTCGTGTGGCTGGATCGAGATTAAAGGCGGAATTCCCACAACACAGTTTGAGAATCCACAAAACTCCAATCAAGGAAAGAACCATCTTGTGGAAGTAAAAATGCCTGAACCTACTTGCTGACTTCTAAAAGAAACATAGTCGAAATCCCTAGAGCGACCTGAGCGTTGATCCCACATAACTCATGCATCTCTGTTCACAACCCCCATGTTTAGGAAAAACAATTCAGAGTGAAGCATAAGAAATCTTTCTTTTGTGATGACTGGATACTTTTCTGAAGCTGTCCAAGATAACCATCTCAAAATGCAGCTGCATGAGAGAATCGGCTGGGAGATGAATAAGATCACTATCAAATTCTTTTGCTGATTACACTTCATTTCATGATTTACAAAGAAAAAGGTCAGAATGTGCCCCAGGCCAATTGCAGACGTGTGTAAAGAATCAATGAGAGTACCGATTATTTTTTTGAGATACAAAGCGTGATTTGCGCAGCAAGAGACTCTTACGATCAGCTGGGTTAGATGCAGAATGCGGCAAATATAGCTGCATCGATTACCTCCGCACATAAGTTTCCCACAAATACATTGAAAAGCCCTGCTGTCATTAAACATTTGATTACCAATGGGCCAACTTGTGCGCTTAAATGTAAACAGAACAAATTAGCACTTTGCATCGTCACACCACACAACAAAAACACCTGTTGTATCCTCCCTTTGTCCGCTCGCACACGCCCAATTTACTTTGGTAGATTGCCCAAACCTGCAAATCAGCCTCAGAGTATTTGAGAATGCCATCCAAATAAAAAAAAACGAAGATTGCCAATAATAAAGTATAGATTGATTTGAAGATATTAGTTGACAATTCTACTACCTTTGGGTCTTTCTAAAAAAACTCAACAGCAAAAGAAAAGTCAACACTACAGTTTGCCTTGAGTATTGCTTGTGTCTTAAAATGTCTAAGACTATATAATTTTTTATTCATATTGTTTGTATATCTAAAAATAACTAAGAAAAGAAATAACTCATAAAATAAAGTTGTATTGAAATTTAAAACTAATATACTCTAAAGGTGGTTATTCTTTTATTCAAGCAAACATCTTGTTGGTATTGTACCATTTTCTATGTCAAATCTAAAATTAAATCTCAAACTTACTTTTAAAAGCTAATTAATACTTTACCTCCAAAAAAATTATTTTGAAACTATCCTTCAAAAAAAACTCTTTTCTTCCTTAAGAATCATACATATTCTAATTATTTTTTATTCATAAAGATTCTTCCAATTGGTAGTTTAGTCTCTATGTCAACTTATTAAGACTGAAAAATTAAAATATAAATTGTAGTTGAATAAAAGAATTCCAAAATATTTAGTACAACAAGTTTTTTTTTTAAATTAGACTATATATAAAGGTTTATTACTTTACAAATAGACATTTTAAACTATTATAAAATATAAAATTTATAATATTATAAACTACATAGAATCTATATTTGTAAAGACGATGTTTAAAACTACATAATAAATCTATATTTCATTTAAAAATATTATTTTTAATAAAAAATTATATAAAATTTAATTGGATTTTAAAAAATATTCTTTTGAAATGTCTATTTATAATATTAATAAAAATTTATTTAAAAAATAAGTATATAAAAATAAAAACATTTTTTTGAAGTAAAACAAATATAATTAGGTCCTATATTCTAAAACAATTTCTTTATTAAAATACCCAGAAAACTTATAAAATTTGATGATTTTTTTTTTTTTTAAAATCACAATTTTATAAATCAGTATAAGATATAAAACCAAAAAAACAAGCAAAAACAGTCTAAACTTTAGTCCATAATATCCTCTAAAATTAAAGACAACTAATTGAAACAAGTCTAAAAATATGAAATAGATGTATTAATAATATCTATCAAGTATATACATTTATTGATTACATGTAAAATAAATATGACATGTATAAAAAAAAATTATATTAAAATATATATTATTTATTAAAATAATAATAATAATCATAATAAAAAGTTTTTTGTTAGATAGAAAAATAGTTTATAACAATTTTATGTACTATGACCATATCAACCTTATATATCCTTCTATAAAATTCTAAATTTATTAATGCTTTATAAAAAATTCCACAGATTTCTACAATTATTTATACTTTTTATGATCTTGTTGATATTTCTAAACGATATTGTATAGTCTTTTAGAATATTAAAAATTCTCTGATTTCCTTTATAAGCCTTTATAATACCAAGCTACAAAATAATAAATAAATAAGAAATTTTAAGAATATATATTTATTTCTATTATAAATTTAGAAATAACATTATTTATAGTCTAAAAACCAATTTAAATCTAAAAACGACTAAAAAAATAAAATAACTTAATGTTAATTCTTATAGCTTTGTATATATATATATATATATATATATATATATGTATGTATGTATGTATGTATGTATGTAATGAACCCATATTTTTTTAAAATGTTATTCATTTTTTTATAAAGATTCAAAAACCATCAATTAACATGACTATTAAAAATAGAAAAAACACATGGATGATAGACAAAACTTCTCCACAAAATAAAAAAACAGAGCTAAAATATACTGCAAACATCACCAACCATTATTTGATCAATGAAGTGCGACAATTGTAAATGTCAAACTCAATTAAATATTAAGACTGCATGAATCAGCAACATCTGTTACAAAACCAAATATAAAAAAACTTCTAACTTCGATTGAATTACTTGGTATTCTATGATTATTATTGATCCTACCTTTCACATGTACATTATCATATTCAATCAGTTTTAGCTGTTCCTTTCCAAAACACTAAACAATACAGTTCAAATAAACTTGATAGTTCGTCATTTGTTACTCCGACAAGAATTTCTTTCTAAATATTTTCAACATTGTAAATGTCAAACAGACCCCATTCTACTAACTTGGTTCTGTTTTACTACATTCTGTTTTGGTTGTATCCAACCACTAATGTTGCATGACATAAAAGATCAAGCTCCCACGAACTGATACCAACGACAAAACAAAATTGATTGATCTAACAAGGACTAAACCCATGTGCACAACGACCGATTCACAGGTCAAAACATGTTACATGTGTGCAAGCTGAGCTCTCCATCCCATGTAAAACGAATGAGAAGGAAATGAAAACAGAAGCAGAGTGTGTTCTGCAGCAGAGTTAATAAATTGTGTGTGCGAAGAATACATGGCCCCATTGGGCCCTTATCGTCTTCCAAGGCCCAGTCCCTGGTTGACTCCAGGAGTCCTTGGAAAGGAAAAAAAGACGATCACCGCCACTCACGCACATTGTTCATGCGGCTGCGGTATCTAAATTATTCAACCTGGTCCATAGACAGCTTCGCTGTGTAAGAAACCCCCTAGCCCAGACCTTTTGGACTTCGTAGTCGATGACGACCTTCAATCTCACCTCGTGCTAGACCTCAACCTCACCTCGTGCTGGACTTCAACCTCACCTCGTCGGTACAGCCCAGCTTTATTCAGGTATCTAATGCGGTGCCAGCAGAACAACGCTACGGCCCACCTTTTTATTGTCTTTGAACACAATAACCAATTATTCTTGGACTTCTGACCGCCCCATGTACCACATCCGTGCTCAATTTACAAAGATCCCCACTGTCCTCGCATTGATCTACTGAACAAAATCCAAAACTCCACAAGCCACCAGCAGACGCTCAACTCTACCTAGGCGAATGCGTCGCGACAATGCAACCTACAATAACACTACAAGTCCTGGAAGGGCTGACACAGAGGAATAAAACTTCAATCCATTTATTCACCAGTTCAATATTCTACACCGAGCTTTAACTACACTGCGGCAGTCGTCATGAAGGCGCAGTTAGTTGTTCTGCTTCACCCACACACCCTTGGAGGGAATGCCGTTCTGGACCACGAACAGGAGGTAGTATGCGGGAGGGGCGATGGTGTTTCCGGGGACTGCAGTCACCTGCACCGACCAGGCATTGCCAGCCTTTGCAGGCACTGACGTCTTCAGCTTCATCTGCCTTTGACCCTGCGCGAAGGAGTGCGTCACGTAGGGAGCGCTGTTCATGTTCACCTCCACTCCGCCCGCTCTTCTGCCCACAGTGAAGGTCATGACGAACACCTGTTTGTACTTAATCTGCTTGGGATACGCTTGGATGGCAGGCCTCACACCGTTGAATCTGGGCATCATCATCATCAAACAGTCTTCAAGTTAGCCTAACGTGCACGCCGCCATCATTCTTCACAACAGAACAATGCATCACAAAGGATAAGGACAATCTGTGGGACGTCGATGTCAGAGACTCACCCTGCACCCAAGTATGGAGGAGAGAACGCCTCCACTCGCAGCTCAGTCGGATATTGTCCATTGTACGTGTAGAACTGGTGGGTGTTGCTTCCAGCCAGGAGCACTCTTCCGTCAGCCAGCAAGTTTGCAGTGGAATGGTACAAGCGGGGAATGTTTGTCTTCGCATACACCTGGAACTGCTTTTTCGTGGGGTTGTAGTTCACGGGATTCAAGGCTGGGTTGTTGGCCTTCCCCCATCCTTGATATCCGTTCTGGGCACCGTTGATGATCAAAATATCGCCGGTCGGCAGAATGATCATGTCGCCCATAACACGCCGAATTGGCATGTTCTGCATAGCCCAGTTGGGCTTCCCAGCGGTGGCCACAATTCTCCCGCAGCTGTCCGACGCGGGTGCGTTCGCATTTCCAGAGTTCGAGGCACCAGTGGCTGCGCCTCCACACACCATAATCTCCGCGAACCCGAAGTTTGTCTGCCATGTCAAGGGAAGCATGGCAGCAGATCCAGCAGAAGGGTAGTTACGGGGGTTTCCAGGAATCTGAGGATATCCCCTCACCACCTTGCCCGAGTTCCAGTTCAGTTGCACGGAGTTTCTGACCGCGAAAATGAAAAGATCTCCGTTCGGCAACAGATACACAAAAGGATAAAGATTGTTATATCCTCCCAGCATACCCAAGTTGAAAAAGCCTTCTCCGGCTTTCCTCTTGGGGTAGAACTCGTACGAAGGCGTATTGCGTCCTCCGACAATGATCTGCCGAATACCAGAAGGCAAAAGCTGGTTGGAGGCATACCAGCGGCCGGTTGCGAGGTTCTCTCCGAGTTCAACCCAGTCACAATTACCTCCAGCGCCGCATGGTTGCAGAGTCCTGATTTTCCTGTTGCCTTCGAAGTCACCCCCAGTCTGCACCATTCTCCCATTGTCGAAGAACTGCCCTGATGAGCACCACGTATCCGTGTACACATACAACGGGCGGACCTGGTTGTTCGCTGGGTTGAACATCACGGAGTGGGCATAGCAGTCAGTCTTGGAGATGCGCTCCGCAGCCTGTTGACGGCAGCGACCGTTGGGGAGCTTGATTGCGGAGGGCCCAATGTTGGTACGATCAAGCATGATGACTGTGTTCATGTGCGTAACCGCAGTATGCATTGACGATATACCCGCATTTTTGTTCAACAGAGCCCAACTGCCCTGGGCCGCCACAAGGTATGCGCATGACAACAGGCATTGCAGCGTCACCAAAACCACGAGAGTGGTTTTTGACAACCCCATTGTCAACGTCTCACCTGGAAAAAGCTTTGAATTCAAGACTGAAACGCGATATTAATCCAATTCAACTATTTTCTCAACCACTACACACCAATGCTGAACAAAGCATGCAAGACCGTCAGTATCTCTAACCAAGCATCAATCAAGACGAGGCAGAATAAGACGGTAACAACTTCGATCGCGACTCTGTGAAGAGAACTTAAAACCCAATGACGGTAGCGTTATACATGAGAATCCTTGGTGCGTGAAATATGACACATGTGCTGCCAGTTCTTCAGCATTGGGAGGCCTTCCTGCCCCGCAAAGCTGGCCGAGTGGTGATGTAAGGCAGGTCGAATGGAGAGAAGTAGTAGTGCTGCTGTGCTGAATGCGAAATGCACGTTGCAATCCTCCCAGCCAGCAGGATCGGTGGTAAGGCATCTGTTTTTAGCCATTTCTGCATACGCAATGAGCTGTGGTGATATATCAGAGTCTCCCAGTGGTGAAATTGGACCGAAGCAATCTGGCAATGCGTGTTTCTTGGGGACTTAAGTTTACTCGGTTTCTATTTTTAACTTTGTCTTGTGCATCAGTCTGTAATTGGTGTTGACTTTAAGGGAACTCGAAAGGCAGTGAGCTGTCTGCTGGATTGCTAAAAGCAGAGATTGTAACAGTTTTTTTAATCTAAATCACATGTGCTCCAATCACCGAACCAGAGCAATGAGTTGATATTTTTAGAGCCACTAGGTCCGAAAGACGCAATGAAGGGATCTAATATACAGAGTTACATCTTCAGCCAACAGCTCTTTTGCTACGTATTATGAATTCAAAATCGCTAGTTTATGACAAGCAAGTTGAAACCTTGAAATGATCCTAATGACAGAAGGCAACTTTTACATCAGAAAGTTTGCACAATAATATATACTGAAACAAAATGGAATTCGAGTTGGAGGGATATGCAAAGATATGTTTCATTATTATTTACTCCAAACCTTTGATAGATGACATGTTTTTATTAATTCATAGTAAAAGTTTAGAACATATTTTCAAGATTTTAGATATAATTCTCTTATTATTAATGTAGACAACGTCTACATCATAAACAATTATAATGAATATTCACAACTATGAATTGATGTTATGGATAACTTACAAATTTGTTCTTATTACTTTCTACCAATGTTTAGATTATTTGGTACAATTAGAATATGGAAAAATAAAAAGAACAATTTTTTCCTAATTGAATGAAAGTTTTAGTCAAGGAAGAAGAAATTGCATGTAGTTTTGCAAAGAGAAGACTACAATCAAAAGTTTATTTTGTAATAAGTAGATGTTTCAAAGATTAATGGTGTAACATAATATGTGAACATTAGTGTTTTAAAAAATTGGATAGATTCTACATTGCCAAAAACCACATTCTGTTTGATATAGTAAATTTTATTATATTGAACTATATCACCTTATAATATATATATCATTAAAATTTTAATACATTTAATTCAAAAAATCTTTATACAAGATAAATTTTATATTTAAGAAGATCCAATTTATTTATAATTAGTATTAATGAATATAGATCCATGTTTGGAAAGATGTTAAGTTTTTGAATTAATTTACACAATTTAGAAGATCTAAAAAGCTTTCCAAAGAAAAAATAATTTATAGATTCTGATAGACATTAAAAAGAAAATAATAAGTAGAAGAAGTCAATGCCATATGCCAAAAAAACTTATAAATATACAATATCTAACAAAAATTGAAAAGAGTACTAGGCTATCAAAAAGATAGAATAAATACATAGTCTAAGATGAAAACAAAAAATCTTAATTTTTTTGCAGTTATATAATGAGTAATGTATTAAAAATAATAATATAATTACAAAAAAATAAAGGTAATGGCAAGTTTATATGTTCTTATAAAAAAAGAAGATAAAAAGTATTAGAATAATTTATCTAAACTTCTAATTCTATGCAATTAATATATATAAGTATTTATATATATATAAATATAAATATAAAAATAAATATATAAATATAAATATAAATATAAATATAAAAATAAATATATAAATATAAATATAAATATAAATATATAAATATAAATATATAAATATAAATATATATATAAATATAAATATATATATAAATATAAATATAAATATAAATATATATATAAATATAAATATAAATATAAATATATATATAAATATATAAATATAAATATATAAATATAAATATATAAATATAAATATATAAATATAAATATATAAATATAAATATAAATATATAAATATAAATATATATATATAAATATAAATATATATATATATATAAATATAAATATATATATATAAATATAAATATATATATATATATAAATATAAATATATATATATAAATATAAATATATATATATAAATATAAATATATATATATAAATATAAATATATAT